GTTGTTTCACCCATCAGTTGGCAAGGGAAAAATCTCATCCTATGAGATGATCCACCACCAGTGGTGGTGTTCTCACTACAATAAAAACGGATCCAAACCATCCCCTTTCCCCAAAAAAACCATCAAAATATGTGAAAAGCCAAGATACAAATTCTTCCTGAAAAATTACTGTTCCCTAGGCAGATTTCTCCTGTCCTCTCTGTTTTATGGCTTTTCCATAATAAATAGGGAGCAAAGGCTGAAAAAACAACGTGGTGCATAATTTCTGCTTTCCCATGAGTGTAAGATTTAAGGAGCAGCACTGAAATTGGTGAATTTACAGCACCATGGCTGAACTCAACATTTGACCTGCATTCCCATCACCTCATTTTCCATAGCAAAATGTTCCTGCTGAAGGTCAGAGGGGCAATTCAGTCCTCACCTGAGCATCCAGGGTCAGGCCCCACTTTCGTCAGGAGGGTTGGAAAGAGAAATAAATATGTATAGTGTGTGGCTTTTGTAAAAAAATAGTGCTTAGAACAAACCAGGTGCAGGTATCTGAGGGTGGACAGGGTGTGCTGCAGAGCCTCCAAGGCACCCCAGAGTGTGCAGGGACAGGTACAGCCCTCTCCTCTCTGCAAAATATTCTGTTCATCTCCTTTATTGCATTTAAAGACAGATTTCTTCAGCTCTGATGTGGCCCCACAGCCCCAGCAAAAAAAGCACCGTGCTAGCAGAGATCCAGCCCAGGTCCCCTCATCAGAGTCTGCCCAACAAGCCCAGAGCTGGGCTGATTACTTCTTCAGGCAGTTCCCGTTTGGCTTTTAATGAAGGGAGTGTCAAGTTGGACTGTGCTTTTTATTTACGTGTTTTTCAGCATATCTCCAATCTGATCAGGATTTAACCTTTGTGGAGGCATGTGAACCAATGTCAGCTGAAGAGCTGCTTTGGAGTGGTTTTCAAAAGCAAGCCCCACAGCTTGAGAGAAAATGGGATTTGAGGAATGAAGAGACTTGTAGAAGTATTTCCAGGGTCACAGGATCTGTTATGCAGGCAGAGTCGTACCTACATGGTTATAACAGGCTCCCCAGAGACCTCCATCCCTGAACTCCCAGCTTTGTCCTCTTGTGCAGCCAGTCAGTATTACTTTATCCAGAGAGATGTGTAGTTTTGGAGGATCTATAATCATAGATCATATTCATAGGTGGAATCACGCTGTAAAGTCATGCTTTGTGACAGGACTGACTGAGTTGTTGTTCTTGACTCCAGTGGCAGAGCTGCAGTCTGAGCATGCTCATGCTGAAAATAGAGGGAAGAATTTAATAACTGTGACATATTGGGCCAGATCATCACAGCCTTTATTCAGATTTTGTTTGAGCAAAGTCTGTTGTTTTGCAGTGGTGTGTTTGGTTGGAAATGGATGCTTAAACCTCCTAATTCTAGATTTGCAACTTGAAAATACGTGGTTTGGATTCTCACTTTTAAAGACTCTTGGAAAGGGTGCCTGCAATTCAGTCAGTACACACAACCTGACATGGTCACTGAGCCACTGCACAAAGTGCTAGCCCTGAACCACACGAGCTGGCTGTGAAACCAGTTAGATGGGAAACAATTTAAAAGCTTTTTGGGTGCTGAGTGTGCTGTGGGGCTCTGTGCACTGCACCTCACACTGCCCTGCTGAAACCAGGGTTCTCTCTGGGAATGCTGTGATGAGGAGCTCATGGAGCTGTGATTCTTGGGACACTTCTCTGTTGTCACCCTTGGTATTGTGTCACTTGGGTGTGGTGCAGAATGTGGCTAGTTCCAGTTGCCAGGGGAAGGTGGCTCCCCTGTCTTGCAGCCACTGTTCTGCCATTGGCACTACTAGTGGAACAACTACAGCAGATTCATTTCCAGCAAAAACCAAAGCTAATAGCTTTACATCAAGGATGAACCTGACCTTTCATTCTTAATAGCTCTAAAGGCAAGAGATCAGAGAAAAGCACGTCAATATTCTTGGCTGTATTGATGTTTGGTTGTGCAAATATCTTTCATCTAATAGAAGGGGCCTTAGCTCCTCACCCTGAAGCTTTGTCAGCTGGGGAATTCAAACTTGCAATATATTCATTCACTGGGGCAACAAGTTTGGTTTCTTGGAGAGGAAGAATGGAAAATATTAAAATAAAAGTTCATGACCTAGCAATGCCCCCTGGCTAATATTGTGTAAGGGACAGGGATAGTATCAAAGCAAAGACTTGCATGGCTTTCCTGTCCCACATGTGCAGACAAACTGTGCTCAGGCTTTGCTCTGTGCCATCTGAGTGGGGAACAGGAGTTTAGTATTTAAATCTGAGTTTAAAAGGGGGTTCTTTAAGTTATTAATTTAAAAAAACTCCAAATCCTGGGAAAATTCAAAGAGGAACTTGTCACAGCATTGCACAAGTATTTCTTGGGTTCCACAATCTTTACTTTGACTGTTAACAAGCAATGTCACTGTTATATGGTGGGAGCAGGGGAAATTCTCCACGCTGAGAGCCAAGGAAGCTTTCCAGACCTGCCTGTGTCTCATCCAAAAATAGACCAAAACCTCACAGCTCCAGAGCAAGGAGTCATGGCCCATTTACAGACCTGGGCCACAGGGGTTTCCATCTCTGCTTGCTCAGGTGTCTGAGCCCTGCAGAGAAGGAGAGACTAGAAGCAAGTGAGGCAGCACTGGAGAGAAAAAACCTGAAGTGCAGAGCTCTCTTAGGGAAAATGTTCCCCTCTCTGGACTGTTCAACTCATATCAATCTGCTACATTTGGAGTTGAATAGTAGGCAGATAACACATTTGAGGACCATAAAGTGAGTGGACTGGATGTGTATAAAAGTTGTAAAAAGCTCAATTCGCATCTGTAATAAAAAACAGTTTAAAGTTAATAGTTCCTCTAGCCACACACATGTTTTCACTTTTGGAAATTATCATTACTTATATTTTAATTTGCTCTTTGGTTTGTCTCTGGTCACTGATCCATGGAGGATGCTTGCTGCACCATATTTTGGCAGGAATTGGAGTGTGTGCATGGAAAGTAGAACTGGTAAAACTTTATTTAAAATTGATCAGCATGACGTGTATGGTTTTTTTGGCAGCCAGTGTGGCTGATTGCAGCCTTCACTGCCAAAAGACCCAGCCACAGAGACCACCTTACAGGACAAAGAAACAAGTCTGGAGTTCAGTTTTTCCTAGATGAAGTGAATTTAATCAAGCTTTTTATTAGAAGTTTTGCCTAATTTGCAAGGTGATTTTTTTTGGGTGGTGTACAAGAAAGTTGAGACCTACTGATTTCCACTGGTATGACCACTGCCAGCAGATGTAAATACCTTTGTGGCTGTGTCAGCAGTGCTTTTCTTTGCTGATCACTGGAAGGGGAACCATCCAGCATGTCAACAATTACCAGCTTCACCTTGATGCCTTAAGTTTTAGTTTCCATATTTTTCAGATTCTGTGCTGCCTAGGTGTGTAGCTCTGAGCTTCATATTAAGTTTTAGTAAGTTCTCTTCACAGGGTAGGTAGACAAAACAATGCTTGAGACCAAGGACAACCATTACAAGCTTCAGGCCCAAAAAGCATAAAAAACAGAGAACTGAAGAGAGCAAACAAAGAGGACGGGACTTCATGACCTGAAGGTGTAATTGGACAATTAACCCCAATATGTAAATGGACCAAAACTTATAAAAGTATAAAAACTCATGACCGGGATCCATTTTGGGTCCGTCCTGGGTGTAGCCCTGGCTGGGCTCTTGTACTGCCCAAGGTGTATCCTTTTGAGGCTTTTTAATAAATACCTACTTTATTCTTTTAGCTCTGTCTAGTCTCTGTTGCAGGTCAGCCTTTCTAGGCATCAATCTCCTTTAACAAGTCATTGTGCCTTTGTGTCTGTAAATGTGCATCAGTGCCTACTGGAGAGGGCCTGAGGAGGCACCCAGCAGGAGGGAGATGTTTAAGACCCCTATACTCTAACCCATATGGTTGGGATGCATTTTCTCCTTCAAAATTCTCCTTAACAGCCTGCATGGAACAGAAACAAGCAAAGAGGCTGTTTCTAAGGACAAATCCTGTTTGTGATAGACAATAACATGTGTGTGTGGTCCGGTAAGCATGCAAACTGCTTCCCAAAAGTGGGATTAATTTCAAACCTTTGCAAGCTCAGAATTGCCTGGGGCTGTGTTGTTGGTGGTGCTGGCTCCACCTCTGCCAGGGATGCCACTGTTCCCATGGCAACTCATCATCTCCCATTTTAATCTTCCCCTTCTCTTCCATTAGGCAAGATAATTCCCAGACACGGAGTGAGGAAACAGTGTCCAGGTGTGGTACAGTTTGCATTAACACTTGTTTAGGGGGAGGATGCCACTGGACACTTGCCCACTGCAGGCAACCTCCATCACTTGACCCCTTGCCTCACACAGGGAAGGTTTCCAGCCCACCCAGTGCTGCAGAGTATCATGAGAAAAAGCAGGACTGTGAAGCTCATGCACATTCAGGCTCTGGAAAAGGCAGTGTCCATGGTCCATTAAGTTTATAGCAACTGTATCTAGTCTTCAGAATCTTTCTGTTTCTTGCCAAGATGCTACACAGCAGTTACAGTCATACAGTGAGCCACCAGACCAAAAGCATATGATCCCTGAGGAAAATCCCCATTTCCCAGGATGCAGTGACCCATCAGCAAGGCAAGACAGCCTTTTCTCACCCTGGTGTTGGAGGTTGCAAGAAGTAAATTGGTACTCTTTCGTTTTTAAGAGCAGATAGAAACATGAATAGAAGCCCAAATTTAGAGGTCCCTTGCAATCCCTTAACACAAGTCATGGACAGTACGGCACTTGACAGCTCTGTGCAGTTTCCTTTTCATTTCTGCAGCACTTTTTCTGGTTTTGCAGTTTCAGATGACTGCGGGAGAAGGTCAAGTTAGGACAGAAACAGTCCAACAGGCTTATTTCTGCAAGGTCCTTTCTTGACTGTAACCACTGCTTCAAATGACTGAGCCTGTGCTCTCCTTTTCCCTGCAGTTGGCCATGGGCAGAGCGAGGGGGATCGTATGGTTGTCTCGGATTTCCACGTCTTCATCAGGGACAGCTTGCAGCACATTGATCTCATGAAGAAAGAGCACCCAGAACTGCCCATTCTCATCCTGGGGCACTCCATGGTAAGCACCATCCCCTACCCCTCCCAGCAGCACCCAGGACGTGTGTCATAATCTGCTGGTACTCATGTGGATGGCAGGAAATAACTCATTGCACAGCAGGAAAACAAAACTACAAGGAACCTTCCCTTCCTCTTCATTCACTGACTGATTTGCCAGCATGCTATAACCTCAAGATCTGCCTTGAGCAAAGACGGTCCTTAACTTTTCTACCCCCACCATGGCCCTAATTAGTGCCATTTGCAACAAGAAGCCTGCTTTTTAACACGACCATTCATTCCCGTGGCTCTGTGTAATTCTCACCAGCTCCCTGCAGCATCGGGCTTCCCCTTTCATTTTAACCAGTAACCAGGAGGTTAAGCCCTCCAAGGCTTTGTGAGCAGCATGGGGATGAAGCATGAAAATACCCTGTAGCCTCATTCTGTTAAACAACCTAACAGGAAAATGTACCAGGGATTAAGGCTGCAAAAACAAAGGCACTGATTTGGTGAACAGATCTGAAGCCTGATTCTGACAGCACGGGCCAAATCCCTTTATTCAAGCTAACAGTATTCCCACTGATGTCATTGATCTGCTCTCCCTGCCTTCCCGGAGGAGAGGAAAATGAATGAGTACTTTGGGATTCAGTCCATGCTCAGATAAATGAGTGTTCTTGCATAAGAAGGCATGGCATGCTCTGAAGGGCTCCCATGCTCCAAAGCCACTGTAACAAGGAGCAGTTTCCCAGTGAGGTCTTTGAGGTGCTTCTCACTGCTGCTCCATTTAACAAGCCCCTGGTTCTCCAGAAGGGTGGAAGTTCACCAAATATTTCCCTTGGCAGCTAATCTTCTGCAAACTTTCCCAAGCAAGCCCACAGGATCCCTTCCATCTGCACCTCTCACCATCAGCCCCTGTCCTCATGCCTGGCTGTCATTCAGCTCTGGACCATGGGCTGGGTGTTTGCTACCAGGCCCTTGGCACAGCACTGTGGGGCTGGAGGGGCTGGGGACACTGAGAAGGAGAATATTTAATTCCCATTAATTAGTGACGATTTTCACATGCCAGAGGCAGCATTGCTGTTGCCCAGGTTACCAGGGGCACAGCACGGAGCAAGCCTGGCTTCACAGCATCTTCCCTATGCACCACCAGTCTGCCAAGCTGATAAACCTCAACTTATTTTTCAAGTCCCACCTGAAACTACCACTTCAGACATTTTCTTCTTAATTCTCAGTTCTTTTAAGTAAGGAGGACACAAGGCATCCCAGGGAGCTGATGGACATTGCATGGAGAGTTGAGTTCAGTGTGACGTGAGAGTTTATAGCATGAGAACAGAAACCAGATCTCTTCTCTCCCCACAAAAACCAAACACTTCCAGTGCTTCTACTCCTCCAGCCTTCCTTGCTGACCACACTGTGCCCTCACTGGGGCAAAAGTAATTGCTTGCTTGGACTAAACCTCTTCCAGTAACAGGATTACTGTACAAACACAATGTTGGCACCTGTATTAAGCTGTGGGCTGTTATTTTGCATTGCAGGGAGGAGCCATCTCCATTCTGACAGCTAGTGAGCGACCCAGTGAGTTTTCAGGCATGCTGTTAATCTCTCCTTTAGTGGTAGCCAGCCCAGAAGTCGCTACTCCCATCAAGGTAAGAGCAAACCCGCGTTGCACATGGTCACCTGGCTCTTCTGCAGGAGGAAAAATGTTCAGACCTCTGGCCTTGAAATGCAAAACCCTGCTGGGATCTGTGCCACCCAGATGCCAGTCAATACTTTTCTTCTGACTGCCTCCCCCACAGTTCCACCTACTTTTCAGAGGGGAAGTGAATCCTGAACCTGTCCAGGAAAACCTATTTAAGCAAGAGTTGGGTATTGGAGGTAGCAGACTGTGCTTTCTTCACCTCACCCCATGACTGCCCACACAATGCTGTCCTTTCCTTTCCTCTCCTACAGCTTTCTTCTTGACTCATGCAGAGTCTGGTATAGTTGCAACACAGGCTGCTGGCTAAGTCAGGCCAGGGTTATTTTTGGCATTTGGGGGATGACCAATTTCTGAACAGAACTAGAACTCCTGAGTCCCAGAAATCCTTTATGGGCCTCAAAAGAGGCTTCCAGATAAAGCATCACTGCCCCAGCTGCAGCCAATTTGACTTGATACCATAACATATCATCTCTTTTGGTTTGCATTTAGGCTTTATCCCATTCATATCTCCTCCAGAGCTGTTTCTGATCCACAATTGTGTTGCCCAGTTTGCCCTACCCCAGTGCTGCAAAGCAAATGAGCCTCAGCTCTCTTCTCCTTTTTGCATTTTTAAAAGAATAAACAAAATCCTAAAAGAAGCTGGAAGCAAAGGGAAGGAGCAGCTAAACCAGCAGGAAGGACAGAGCCTCTCATTCCCACAGGACTCCTTCCTTTATCCTTTCTTCTTAGACACTTCTCCTAGGGCTAGCTTCTTGTTTTAATTTACTTCTAAGCTATTTCTGCTTTTTTTTTCTTTTGTGAGGAAGGAGACACATTGCCTCAGCTTTCAGTACAATCCTGTCCCACTTTCTGCTGTAGCCAAAGCCATGTACAGAACTCACAAATAATTACAAGCACCAAAGGGTGCTTTCTAATCACCTCTTTTCCACTGAAGAAAATGCATGAAGACCTCTAGCCTTAAGATGCAGGACCCTGCTGAGATTTGAACCACCTGGATGCCAGTCGATATTTTCCTTCTAAGTGCTTTCCCATAGTCCTACCTAATTTTAAGAAGAGAAATGAATCCTGAAGTCATCCAGTCCAAGTAAACTTATTTAAATAGAAGTCAGAGTACCAAAGTCTGGTTTTAGGAGGCTGGTTACTGATTCTTCATGAGTGAGGCTACATCTGGCATAAGTGTCCCATGAGCACCAGTGCCCCTGTGCACCAGTGCTTTTTCTTACTTGGGAAAGCAAAAAAGAATAACTATTAAGAAAAAGTAATAAACAGTCTGAATATGAGAGAGACTGTTAGCCTTTTTTTTTTTTTCTAATCAAGGAGAATAGAGAAAGATTGCTATAGATTTACCTTTTGCTAGATGCTAAACTCTTTCTGAAACAAGGATTCCCCAGTTCTGTGGGAACTAGCATTACTGCAGTCTGGTTTGTTGCAGATCTGTACCACATGTTGCTTTATTTCAATGTGAGAAATAAATGCCATGATGCATCATTTAGGTAGGAAATCCTATTCTCTAACTGAAGAATTTTGGAGGTGTTTATACGGTCTCTTTCCTAGAAAGTCTCTCACAGACAGTATTAGAAGAGCACAATCAGTTTCTTTCTATTTCAAATCTATTTTTACATCTCAAAACTGATAAAAAATTAATTATTCCTGAAATAGCTCTGCTCTGTCACAGTCAGTTGAAATCATTTCGGGAGTTGAAAAGGTATTCGCAGGAGGAAGGATTGAAAAAAGCAGAGCATTCCTGCATAAGCCACATTTTCCCATAAAGCAGTGTGGTTTTTTTCCTCTGAGAGTCACAAAACATTTCATGGTGATTGTGCTTCTGAGGAACAAAGCCTTAGTTTTCCCTTGGAACTGGTAGAATTTCTCAGCCCTGGGCCATTTCCCAAGGACCATTGCATTCATCCCTTTGCTGGGGAAGTTTCCAGCTGAGCAAGAATTTACCTTGGCCTGAACAAACCAGGGCTCAAGACAACAATAACAGCGAGCCAGATGACACACTGGGTCCTTCAGACCCTCTTAGAAATACCTTCCCTGGCTGCTGAGCCAGCCCTGGCAGCAGCAGAAGCACAGCATGTTTGCAGGCTCTGTGCAGGAAGATCAAATGCAGAAACACAATTTCACCAGTGCCACATAAATCCTGTGTCTTGTGCTTCTGATGGAAGCATCCAGTTGCAAATCCAGCAGAGTGAGAGGGATCTTGCTGCCTTCCCCCTTTTCTTCTCAACTGACCTGGACAAAATTCAGCTCTCAATCTTTGCAGTTTCAAAGGCTGCAGAGACAGGAGTCACACATGCTGGCAAAGGGCAGAGCAGGGGTGAAAGAGCATCTCCCATTACATTTCTGCTATTGAATGCTTTGAAATCAGGTGGGCAGGACAATCCCTTAGGAAATATTCCCTGGTGTTTAATCCTGTACTGACCCCCAGCCTATTGTTTAAGGACTCACTACACGATATTCTCTTTACCTCTTGTGTTTTTCATTTCTCCTCTTGCTGATCTATTGTTTTCTAACCTGACTGGGCATCATGTTGCTCACTGTCTTTCAGCCTGAATCTGCACCCAGTAACACTGCAAAGGACTTTTCCTAAGGTGTAATCAAACTGGAATAAATTATTTTATTAATTTTTTTTTCTTTATTCCTTTATTCTGTCCAGTTTAGCAGAGATGTTAGTCGTCAGGTTCAGAGTCCATAATCCTGCCTAGAATACATGAAGGTGCACAGCTCCAATTATCACTGCCTGGAGTTAACATGAAATGAGGAAAACCCCATTCCTTCCTGGATCATCATAAGCTCTTACCTACATTGTTGTGTAGTACAAATTAATTTTGCTGACACAGTGTCATAACCAGTGAGGGGCTCAGTGTACTGGCAGACAGTGACACTGGTTCCTACTCATATCTACCCCAAGGTACACAGGTGTCACCAGACCTGCTGTGAGTCTTTACTGCTTTTCACTCCTCGATGACTTTGACTTCAACTTTGTGTTATTCCTCTAATATCATAATTAATCTGTCGTGTGTCATCTGTGATCTGAAGTGCCAGGGTGTGCTTCAGAAATTATTAGGTATCTGCAGAAACAGAGGGCATAGGGGACAGCCTACTCCAAGTGTTAGCTGTGAACACCACAGGGCCATAAACCAGACCAATGAACACTAACTGTGCATTTTCTGACTTAAGTGGTGATCACTTAATTAAAGGCAGCTATCAAAGCTATCAAAAGATCAGAGCAGAACTCTGCTCTACGTGCTTGTAGTGCTATTGAAATGAAAGATGTTACCCTTTCTTCTAGCAGCAGTTTCCAGCCTGGGCTGCTCAATGCTTTTGTGTGTTGTTCCCAGGAGACGTGTGAGCAATGGATTCCCTTAGCCAATGCATGCACACTTGGCTGTTGTTTATTTACAGGTTCCCTGGAGAATCCACTTATCAAAATGAGTGCAGCCTAGGCAACTGCTGCAAATTGCACCCATCATCACTTATGCACTGCAGCCTGAAATCAGAGCTGTGGCAGTGAGGAAAGGGCCACACAACACCAAAACCCAGCCCTCTAAGAGTTGGAAATTACCTTTTCCTACCAAAGCACTTAACTGAGGCCTTTCAGAAATTAACTTAAGAAAGAGGAAAAGGCACAGTACAATGAAGTTATGCTGCTGCATGTGGACGGACAGCTGACGGCATTTCAGTCTAGCACACCCACTCCCTGCTCCCAGGAGCAGTTTAAACACTTTCCTCGTTAAGAGAAATGTTTTAAATATAGGACAGCTCTTTCTCCAGAGTTAGCTGACAATTCTCAGCTATTTAACTCCTGTGCTGATTTCCATCAGCTCAGTATTTGGGCCTCTATGTTCCCTCTCTTCCTCTAACTGGATCTTTGACTACTTCCTTTCCTCTCCCACAGGTTTTTGCAGCTAAAGTGCTCAACTTTGTGCTCCCAAACCTAACACTGGGATCAATAGATCCAAATGCAATTTCCCGGAACAAGAAAGAGGTGAGAACCTTAATGCTATTTTAAGTCATTGCATAGTTGGTATCTTGTACCAGTCCTGCCATTTTTCTTTCAGAAAAACCCACAAGTGTTTTGCTAAGTCAAAATCTGTGCTGGTGTAGAAAGGTGACATGTCTCTGAAGCCAGTGGAACTGCTCACAGAAGGCTGTGGGAAACAGCTGCTCCTCCCTGGGTGTGCCTTGCACCTGCAGCTGCTCTGGGTTCCAGACACGGCAGGGAGCTGCAGGTGCAGTGGGAAGCAGGTGGAGCCACGTCTTTGCTGCACCACCACCACTCATTACAGCAGCAAAACCCAAAGCAGGTAGCAAACACTGCTAAAGTCAACTTTTCCACCCCTGCTCTTTGTGGTGAAATCATGCAAAACCCTACACTCCTTGAGATTTGTTTTCCTGCTTCCAAACCAGAATCACCTTGCGCCAGATGCATCCAAAAAGAGCATGCTTGAACCAAAGAACTTTTTACAGGTTCTCCTGGATCACACTCTGACTCTGCTACAGCCTTTCCAAACAAATGATGTATTTATGCTACACCCAAGAATAATGCTTTAAGGAGCTGCAATTGAAGCAGCTGTTGTAACAACACAGCTCCAGCCTCACCACTGTGAATGTGCATGGAACTGTCCAGGGCTGAGTTTTTACAGTGCCACAATAGCCTGGGACTCATCTCCCATTCACACTCACTCCTGGTAATAACTGTGTCAGCCTATTCATGCCATTACTGCAGAAATAGGTGTAATTGCAACTGCTGCAACACCACCTAAAGAGGGTTTTTCCTTCCCACCGTTGTGGGAGGAGTGAAAGGAGAGGAAGGGAATCACAAACCATAAATGAATGAAGGTGCTTAGGCTAGACCCAGAACTTGATGCATTTCAGAAAGCACCATTTTTTCTTGAATTATAGAAAATGGCACTCAAGGGCGTGTCAAGAACTTTGCTGGTGCAAAGTGGTCACTTGTTCCTGTGCTCCCATGCCAGCTCACACCTCACTGACAGATGCTGTCATTTTCCCTGCTGTTCATGCAATGGTTCATACCTTAACTAGGAATTAATAAATTGCCTTTCTCTGGGGAGGCAGCTCGACCAGCATTAGAATTGAAGCTGAAAGGATCAGGGACAAAGACAGTGCCAACATCTGTGTGAGTGCAGTGCATTTGGCCTCTGCATATCCCACATCTTTGGCTCACCTATTCAGAAAACTGGAAAGCAAAGAGTTTCCCAGAATAGCCTCAAGGCCCACGGCTGTTTCTTGGCAATGCCAGAGGGGTTTTTTGTTCCAATGACTTTTAGTTCACTTATTCTTGAACAGAGCATAAGATACCACTGTGTTGGAGGTGGAAAGATCCAAGGAGCTGAGGAAAAGAAGACAGGACTGGAGTGGAGTGAGATCATGTACATCCGCTGATGCACCGTGTGACATATGCTCGAAAGTACCATATGAGGCTGCACAAAATATCTGCTTGGGAAGAGGGCTGACTCCAGCCTAGCTGCAGAAACCTGTTCTTAATTACATTCAGCTGCCATAACTTGTTGCATATAATTCAGAGAAAAGGTTTAAATTAGACAATTAATTCACTTAAATGACACAGAGGAAAAATTTCACATCCACGTTTGTATTTAGAGGATAAAAGCAATCAGTGCTCTGGAGGAGGAGAGGAATTGGAGAGCTTTATTCCCTACCTGAAAAGTGAGTGTGTCTGCCACGTGTGGGTCTTTGCCTTCTTCTGCACTGATTTGTTTTGTGACACCTGAACTCTGCTGCAGCTGCATTTAAAGGGTGTTTTAAATTTAAAACATTTAAGGATGTTTTAATTACACCTCCAAGAGCTGGATCCTCTGCTGGAAGCACTCTACTGCTGCACTCGATAGCTTTGTAGGAGAAAAGTGATGATATAGGGACATCCTGCATTATCATACATTTAGGGAAGTGTCAGAGAGCTCCTGAAATTGGCACACAGTATTGACCGAGCACTTCCGTGTTGTGGTGATGTTAGGAATCACCACAGCAACCACTGGACATCCTTTATAATAATTGCTATTGTGTTGTCTTTCTAACCATGTATTTGCTGCTGCTTCATCTGTTCTGTGATGCTTCAAGTCTCTAAAGCTTCCTTGGAGCGTTGTTTTACCTCTGCCCTTTCCATGGAGCAAGGGAGAGCCTTTTGCAGTGGATAAAGGTGTAGCTCTGCTTCATTAGAGCCTGCCTATAATTGGAGATGTCTTCCAAATGAGATACCCTGTGTGCTGTGCTGACTTCTCACCTACACCTGAGCACACAGCTGACAGAGCAGCTGTGGGTAGTGATGCAAAGCACTTTCTTGACCCCTTTCTCGACACCAGGTTTTGAGGCTCCAGGCACCTACTGAAGACACGACAGCATTTTGGTCCTCTGGTGCCTCTAAGCACACTCCACCCTCCTTTTGGATTTGTATTTAAAGCACATTATGTGCTGGAAACATCTATTATTTATATGTTACACATACAGTCCTGCCAGACCAGCTTTCTATTCACTAGAAATATTTTTGGGACAACATCCAAGAATTTCCTAATGAGTTTGTGTTCCCAGAAAGCTGTCTTCAGGGTGTGGGGACTGAAATATGGAATGATGTAGAGATATTTGTTTGATGTTTGCTGTATCAAACACAAGACAGAAAAAAAGAGAGCAAGAAGCAACCTTGAAAACCAGTCCTGTTATTCCAAGGAGGAATGACATCACAGTGGCAGGAACCTCTTTACCCCACTAGTCTTTGTTAGCTGCTGTTGACTTAGTGATCCCCCTGATTTAAGCCTTGTCCCTAAGGATTAATCCTTAGTCCACATAGGATAAGGCTGCAGGAGGAGATGCAGACCTCTAAACAGGTCGATGCCATGCAGCAACTGGATGGTTGCTTCTGTCTTAGAGTTACATAAAGATAAAAAGAGCTGTTGTGAGAGACCCTGGGGAGCCTTTGCCTGACAGTGTCTGGAAGCATTCCCTGGCTCTCCTGGGATCACCTTCTGTTCTTGCCCCCTGTCTCAGAGCTCAGTGCAGTAACAACAGTTTTGGGCTTGCAGGGTTTGCAGATTGTAGCCTGCAAAATATAAAGTCCATTCCCTGTCTTTTCTCCTTCCCCAGAGAACTGCTGCTTGGCACTCACCCCATTAATGAGCATTAACTCTGACAAGGATTCCTGTTCACTGACTAGGATCAGGATACTGCCCCTGCAGTCCTCATCATTTTGGGTTCTGACTGGGTTTGGTCTTTTTTTTTTCTCTTGCTATCATCTACACTAAAATATTTGTTGGCTGCTCAGTAGCTAAAAATCCCTGTTCTTTCTTCAGATAACAAGAGGAAGAAAGAAAACCTGTAGGTAATTCTTCTAGCACTTATGGCCTGGGGAGGGGGCCAGCTTACCTGAATTCATCAACAGTGTTTTACTTCATGGGAAGGAACCTTCTGTCAATCCATCCACTCACCCCTCCTGAATCCCCCCTGAAAAATCTCTTATTTATTACATTCAATTAAAAAATCAAACCCACCAAACTAAAAAATAATAAAACCCACTCATCTCAAAAGTGTGTTGCTTTAGCACAGCAGTGTGACATAGGTCCAGGTTAGGCTGAAGCCAGTTGCTAAGTAGCCAATGCAACACAGTGGTGTTGCTCAAAAAGCTGATGAAAAGTCACCATGTTCAGCTGAGTATATCAGGGTAGACCCAGCTGCCAAGAGGAGAGTGAGCTGCACCACACCAGGCACTTGCTGTTCTGAAAGTCAAAGCTGAACGTTTTCCATGAGCACATTCACAAGGGAACAATTTCTTCTAAACACGGGAGGCCTCTTGCCCTGCAGGAAGGACTTTGGAGAGCAGGGAAGGTACAGCTGAAGAGTGTAGGGGATGAAAGATGCAGATGGAGGTTTCTGCACTAACAAGCTGGTTGGGCACTGGGATGGTCCATGCAGAGCCAAAAGGACTGGGAGCTGTTCAGTCTCTGCTTCCCAAGGCCATTAGCAGAAGCAGAGGATGTTTACCATGTCCCAATGTTTTAACCACAGTCTCATCTTTGCAGTTGCCTCTTACAAGCAGTTTTCCAGACTCTCAGCAGGCACATACTTCTTTAAAAGGAAGATACCATGTGTAATATCCTAATATGATGAGCTGTGGTGATTATCTTTGTCTCCCTGCCAAAAATTACCCCTCACTTCAGAGCAGACATAATCTTGCACAGAGACCAAAATACAACAATGGCCTTAATCAAATCCTAGAAACATCCACCACTTCCAAGGATCCCTAAGTGAGTTCTATGACAACTTGAATTTTTTCAGTCCAACTCCAACACAGAGTGGAGTGGCAGTACAGCTGTCCCTCCCTGGACCATCCTCAGTACTATGGACTGGGACTGAACGGTGTCAGCCACTAATAGTCCCAAATTTCCCCCCACATCTTTCTCTTGCTGCATGTAGGGATAGGAACCATGGATTCAGGCAGTGGGGGATGGTGGGGACTGGAAGTTAGAAGGTGATGGGGAAAGACTTGTGAGCACCAGGGTGCCTCAGTGCCACCCCCATTTCCAGTGCTTTGTGCTCCAGCATATTTGAGATGACAACAGGGGAAACTGGCTCCAAATCCTGTGGCAGGTGAATGTATCCAGATGGGAAAGCTCCACCATGCACTATTCTGCCACCTTGAGAATCTCATCTCACCTCACGGGGAATTGAAGACAGAATCCACCCCAAAACCTTCCTGTCCATACTGTCCTGCAGTGCCTGCCTGTGCCTACACCTACACATGGCTACATGTCCTTGGGTGGCCTTTGGGTCACCTCCTACCCATGGTCCCCTCAGGGCAGGCACAGGCAGAAGCAAAAGGACCTCAAGTTAATGCCTTCAAGGTAGAATTTGAACAGGCCCCACTGCCTGTGAGGAGAGGAGGAGACTGTTTTAGCTAACCTATAAATAACCATCATTTCTATAAACATCTGCCAGGGTTGGGAGAAAGAGGAGGCTGTGCCAGAGACCAGCCCATAATCAAAGCATTCTGGCAAATATTGCCATAGTGGGCTCTGTGTGGGCCGTCTCCACATACAGTATACAAATATTTACTGTAGATTTGCCTGCTGCAGTAACTACTCCTTCCTAGCAACTTTCTGCACCAGCTCTTGAGCATTTTTATTCCCTCACAGTCTGGCTGAGCAAGTTGTTGACTACTTTTTTTTGCCTGCCACCTAACACCATCATTTGCTGCCTTGTCTGTCATGCCTTGCAGCCCCTTGGCTTTGCAGCCACCTCTGTCAGTTGTCTGTAGGTGTAGGTCATGGCCACCACCCCCAGACAGGGAAAGAGAACATTTGAGCCCTCAGCAGAGAGGATAACGGCTGGAGAACATCAGTTTTCAAATAACACAGTCTGAAGAACTCTCTGTAGAAGAGATATCACATTGGAATGACAGAAGGGCAGAGCAGAAGAGAAAAATGGTGGCAGGTGCCCCTGTGGGAATGGTCTTTGTCCAACACTGGTTGTTTCCCTGCAGGAGCTCCTTTCAAAGAGCTCTGGCTTGAATGTTTTCTAGTGGTGTAAGAGAGAAACATGCAGCAAAGAGCATGCCAGGTTGTGTGAGCAGTGCTAGTAAGCCACAATAGCTCGGCCTTGACTCTGGTGGCCAGATGTCCTGAGAAGGCAGGGAATGGCTGTGCAAGCTGAGGGAAGACTCTTCACTGCCAGGCTGATCTGCTTTTTCTCACATGCATAAAATATTGCTAATCTTAAATTACCTCTTTCTCCCTGCCAGATGGAGTCTTACACATCTGATCCCTTGGTCTACCACGGTGGCATGAAGGTCTCCTTTGTCATCCAGCTGATGAATGCCATTGCCAGAATCGAGCGAGCCCTGCCCAAGCTGACTTTGCCCATCCTGGTGCTCCACGGCTCTTCTGACAAGCTCTGTGATATCAGGGGCTCCTATTTACTGATGGACACAGTGCAGAGTCAGGACAAAACACTCAAGGTCATCTTGCTTTCTTGGTTGTTAGGAGATGATGCTGTCAGTGTTGGCCTGAGCATGAGTGGCTGTGAGGGGTGGGGAGCCTGCTGACCTCCAGAGAGCTGATGGATTGGTGAGGCTGGGCAGGTGACAGCCCCTTTCAGCAAGAGGTAGCCCAGGCTCAGCCCTCTCTGGGCTCAGTGTGGTGGCCTTTCACCAGCTACAGCCAGGCTGGGGGCAGGGCACGGTGGGCAATGCCCCAGTTCTTGTGCCTAGAGGGTGTCTTGGACATGAAGCAGCTTGGTGTAGAAGTAGAGCAAGGCTCAGAAGCAGGTGAAGTGTTGACCCAGAAAGCTCTTCTGAACAATGGCAACTGCGTGAGCACCAGCCTTACCTCATGTCCCAGCCTGTAAAGGTGCAAGAAGGTCTTTCCAAAATGCTGGACAACAAAAGCCACTTCACATCTGCTCATTTCAAGAGAACCACAGCTGATTAACCAATTGTTAGCACATGAATAAACCTGAAAGAGACGCTGAGAGACCAAGGGAAAGCTTTTGTCATCAGAAAAATAACTGGATAGTCTGAGCATAAAAGGAGTAAAATTGCACAAGGCATGATGGGAACATCCCCCATTGTCCTTTACATTCCAAGGGCAGGATAAGTATTTCCTCCTCTTTAGTGAGATAAGAAGCAAGAAATCTATGGGGCTGGGACATGCATTATGTTCCTAAAGGGCAGCAGGGTGCTCTGGTACCCACAGATGTCAGGCAGCAATGCTAACACTTTCCTGCTTGTTGAGGGCCAGCAACACCAGTGGCATCTCCTCGATTTCATAACCTGGTACATCTCAGAAAAAAACTGACAAGTTGTGGGCAGGACGTGTTGGACCTGTGGGTGTTGACAAGAGGGGACTGAAGGCTGTTCTGTTCATGTAGATTTATTTTTTCTGTGCTAATCTCTACTTCTCCCTGGTTGCAGGTGTATGAGGAAGCCTATCACGCCCTCCACAAAGAGCTGCCTGAGGTCTCTACCTCTGTCTTCACAGAAATACTGACATGGATTGGCCAGAAGGTCTCAGCAGCTGGGGAAACCAGCCATACTTAAGAGCAACTGCATTTGCAGCTCTTACTGGGGTTTTCTGGGAATAGATGTTTTTCTTACTAGAAATCTCTTGGGAAAAGATCTAACATGGAGGGATTCTTGGAATATTTTACCACACACAGTGTAAGGAGGGTGGGGGGAGAGGCACAGGGTGGGGCATTATTTGCTGATGTAAATGGCCACTGCCCTAATCTGAAGAAGAATTGATAGCTGTGGGATGCCGCTCACCCACCAAATTTTCTCCACAGCTTCCCCTTCTCTCCTTTCACTGTGGTGACTGGGGTATGTTTATACTGCAATAACTATTGGTATGTAAAAGAAATCAGTATCTTCCACTTCATGGTTTTGATGCCAGGTGCATCCCTTGTCCCCACCACCCAGTACCTTAAAAACCCTGGTCCTTGAGAGGAGAGCACTAACAAAGGTGCTGGGTGATGAGGAGAGGCTAAAGATGGAGTTGACAGCTCCCTGAAGGTGAAAGGCTGATTTTCAAGATCAGACCCCTTTGGATACTACCTTTTTAAGCAGACAGGCCAGGGGAGAGCAAAGAGATGCCTCCCCCACCATCCTGCACGTCCTCTGCGAGTTTGCACTCGGGGAAAGCATGTTGAACAGTGCTTTGATTTTCATCATCTGAGCAGGATCCCAGAGGGAAGAGAAGAATGTGGAATCAAACCCACTTAGCACATTCAATTCCCATGCTTTTCCCCATGTCAAACCCCATCTCCTCTGCAAGATTGACTATTCTGTAAATATTCCTAGGGACAGGGTTTTTTCCTTCCTTCCTTTTTTTTTTTTTACTCTCCTTATTTTTTCTTTTGGAATTAATCACTTGTGCTACTGAAACTGAAAAAGCAAAGTCAAAGTTATAAGAGAATATATTAATATAATATATTATATATATAGAGGTGGCTGGAAGCTGGGAAAGAAATGGGAGAAGAGTAAAGAAGGAGTTAATCATTCCTTCTCTTGGCAAGGAACAATGTTGTCCTACCAGGATCCGGTCCTCTCACCATAACTTTACAGTCATAATCTGTTGTTTTCCTTCATCAGTTGGAAAATGTCCTGAAAATAATGCTAGAGAGAAGTGCAGAGCATCTGGTGGGTGGGGAGTAGCAGTGGGTGTCCTCATGGTCCACTGGTTTAGCAGGAGACCCACAGTGTGAGCAGAGCTCCTGTCCAAGCTCATGCCCGTGTCCTCCTCACCAGCACTGGGCTACATCACTGAGGGGCTGAGCTCAGCCCTTCAGGACATGTGGGGAGTGAATTTGGTAAGCCAAATTCTAGAGCTGCCTGAGTCTCTGCTAGCAGCAGGGTGAGAGGAAAGAGTTTAGACCCTGGATGAGAGCAGAGACATTGTAGTGACACAGTAAAAGCTGCAGAGTGATGACAGAGTGGCTGTGTGGGCCAGTTTATCCAGCGTGGTGGCCCTCAGCATGAATGCACTTCTTGGCACTATCCAAACGAAGGGGTTTAACCTGCACCTCTCCCTCTGGTTTTGCAAGAAGAGGATGCAAATGTTGCACTATGAGAGAGTGGGGGATCTCCCCCAGTGACAAACCAGCCCTCACTGCCTTCCCTGGCAGCAGCAAGAAGCACTGCTGTGTCCTGAGCTGCTGCCCCCAGGGCTGTCACCCACCTCTCCTCCCTTTGGAAGCAGTTCTAGCAAGGTTCAGGAAAGGGACCTGTGTGCAATAACAGAATCAGGGTTCAGTCCCATTCAGTCCCAGCAGCGTGGATGAATGGAAGATGTGTGGATGCAGGTTGTGTCCTTGTAGTCGCCCTAAGGGGCCCAAGTCAGGGAAGCTCTTTTATACAGGTTGATCCAGGCACTTTGGCATTTGTATTTTCTTGCCTCTAAAGAGAGGAACGAGCTATAGCTCTCCCAGCAGCTCCAGCTTTTTATTGAAATATTGTTCCAGTGCAATCAGCTGTTCTCAGCAGCCCCTGCTGAACCTCTGGTGACACTTACTCTGGGAAGGAGCAATGAGCAGGTCACCTGCTTTCCATCTTCCAGCAGCCTGTCTTGAGACAACTTCTGTTGCCTAAGCAAGCTCCCTCCTGGCCAGATGCTGCTTGAGAAAGACAGCAAGAAGAGAAACATTACAGCAGTGATAAATCTCACCTGCTTCTTCAGCTGGAAGGGGAAACAAGTGGGTGTGATCCAGAGGTGACAGACGTTGCGGGGGTAGTAGCAAGATGATGACTTAAGGATAGGATTTTTGAAAGCACTTTTCTTGAGGAAGTCAGGAGGAGTAAATCAATGCCCACATTCTTTACATCCTTTCCAAAGTGACAAGCACTTTGCAGGAGGGGAGAGGGAAGTGACCCTTCAGCAGAAAGGTTAGACCCCCTCCAACCTGGCTTCAGGCAGAGGAAAGTCCGTTGTCAGTGCCTTTGCTAAAATGTGTCCTTTCACCCAAGAAACATCTGCAGCTGAACAGAACTAAAGGGAAACAAATTACATTGATCTGGGGAAGACTTGTCCTTCTGTCTATAGCTAAGCTCAGCAGTGGCACATGGCCTGGGGAGGCTGTGTTTAAAAAAAAAAAAAAAAGGTTAATAAACAAAACCTACAAACAACAACAACAAAAAAAAGCCAAATGACCCCAAAGCCATGGCACAGCAGCAGGTATTGCCACCCTCAGTTTTCTGAAGAGCTACCTTCTGAGGCAATTAACCCAGGGAAACCTCTCCAAAAGAAGCTGGGCACTGCCTGTGCTGACCCCACAGACCCCTGGGCTGGCTGCTGAGCAGAGGGGCCACAGCTCCTTGGCAGGTGGGGAAAAGAGTGCAGAGGGAAGGAGCCAGGAACAAACCAGCCTGGGCCAGGTGAGACACTGATCTGCACATTTCAGCTCTCTCTGTGCTGTTGCTGATCCCTTTCCCTGCCTGTAAGCTCCTTTATACTGACCCAGTTAGGTTTCACCAAGCCCCGGAGGAATTCTTCCTTGGCTGACCAGATTAGCAATGAGCAGAGCAGCTGCTGAGGGAAATGTAATTACACTCTATTTCCAACTGGCAGGTACCACTTGCAGGGAGCACAGCCAGCCTTATGAATGTTGCTGTGCAGAGCCACACGAGAGTCTGCTCTGCCTTGGAGAACAGGTGGCACTCGTGACTGAGCAATAGCAACGTGTAACTACTGTATATATCACCACCTGTAGCACTGAGAGGCCATTTCCCACTGCCTAACCCATCATGTTTTCTATTTAGCCTGTCCTTTTTATACCACTCACCTTAGCACACTGCCAGCACAAACCCGTTGGGATCACATTTTCTTTTACAAGTTATTCTTGAGGTTGTCTCTCTTGTTCTGTTGTGTTCCAGTTCAATAAAATACATTATATATATATATACATATATAAAAATATATATACATACACATGTATTTTCAGTGGAAAAACCATATACAAGTTTAGGATTCTTAAAGGAAAACAATGTATATTGCAACTAATAATAAAGTTATGTTTTCTGAACAGAGCGTGTCTGAGGGCATCACTGGTGACCAAAGTGCTTCCCACACCCCAGATTAAACAACAGTGTAGAGCTGGTGGAGGATACTCAGTAACAGGCAAACTCAGCCTGCTTCAACATGTGGTTCCCGTGCTTTTAAAACACTAAAACATCATGTTGGTCCTGAACGAAACCCAATTGTACCGTGGCCAGGAGCAACTGCTGATTAAATCCTGTATTTTGTCCCCAGCAGTGACTCAGATCAGGCTGGGGAGTGGCTTTGATGCTCTCAGCTCCCAGGCAGTGCCCAGATGCTGTAAGAGCTCCAGGTCCATCCAGAGCTATCAGAGTTGGTGCTGTCAGAGTGGTCCACACTGCAGAAATGTCCCACCCTGCCCAGAGAGTGGGGCTGGGCCAAAGAGCAGCCACAAGGTTCTCTCCTGCTCTCCTCTCCAGGCACATTTCAGGACAAGTCGCTTGTAAAGGCTCCCCAGCCACTCACACTCCAAAACACGTGAGGAGTGCTGCAGCAGGGGACAGACAGGACCCTGCTCTCATGCCAGCCCTCTCTGGCCAGAGTCATGAGCAGCACCAGACCCAACCTGCAACCTTCATCCACCCCTTTCATCTTCCTTATGCCTCAAGTCACTAAATCAAGAGAACAGTGTTTTCCTTCTGCAGCCCTGTGCAGGCTCTGGGTCTGATACCAGGTCAGAAGCCTTGGCCAAGGGCTTTGATGTCAATCAACACAGATAACACAGCTGGGGCTTTTCACCAAGCCAGCAGGCACACCATGCTAGGAAGGAACATCATTAGTAACAACATTTGCTTTAATTCTGATATTTTGGTGGTTTATTAAGCTCGTCAGTTTTGAGGGTCAGTGGAGGGTGTACACCATGATGCTAGGACAGGGACTGAGCACAGGAGGGAGGGGACAGTCCTTCACAAGGCTGGGAGCAGCACCAGCACAAAGCAGCTCTTTTGGAAGTGCACTTTTCCCAGTGTCACCACCTGATGGCTGGCGAGCTGTCACAGCCATAGGTGGCCTTCCTGTTTTAAGCCTGTGCTTCTCTACTCTGATGCTGTGAGGCTGCAGGAACTCTGAAGGTTCTGCCTTTTTCTCTTCCCTCAGCCTGTTCTCAGTCTTGTGTTATCCAAGGCTGGCTCTGGGGGTAGCTGATGAATGGTAAAGCAGGAGCCAGAGCAGGGTCAGAGTTGGGGGGAGAGCTCCTTAGGAGGCCTTTGCAGTCACCCTGGCAGGGACAGCCAGCCTGCATCACCATTGGGACTTAAGAGGTGTCATACCCAGTCACAGTGCAGCAGGGACAATGCCCCTGTCAGACTTCTGGCACCACACAGCCCAGCACCCAGGCCAGGCCCAGGCACTGAGAGCAGGCAAAGGCTGCAGCTCCAGTGAGTGGTGAAGAATTTTAATTCGGATCTGTTCAGCATGTAACCCACAGTGTTTCACTTCCATTTGCTGCTGGTTGAGCATCAGAGGGAGAAGTGGGGCTGCAACTCACTGAGAGCTGCTGCTGGGGGTGAGCAGGGACTCACACCTCTCCACCTGCCACTGCCCCTGCCCAGCTTCAGGAGAATTTCATCACAGGAAAAGGCAGATGGAGCTGAAGGGTTGTGCAGGTGCCACCACACCACCACAGACCAGGAGTGCCACACACGCTGCAGCCTGACAGCCTGCCAAAATCACTCCTGCTCTTCTCTCCACATATGAGCACATCTCCTTTGCACACAGAAACAGGGTCATGTTCTCCCAGTTTATCCATCTGGGATGCTCTCTTTCTCCCTCTGATGGGGAAGCTGCTGATGTGGAGCTGCCACTTGCCTCCCTGCTGCTCTCCAAACAGCTGCCTTATTAAGCAAAACTGCCACGATTGTGAGCAAACACCGCAGAACCCACACTCCCAACAGGCACAAGCCAAACAACCAGCCTTCCCATGGCCACCACTCCTCTGCAGGGAGTGACACAGGATTAATTTCCTTTCTCTCTGGAGGAAACTCTTCAGTGTATGGAAACATTCCAGGAATTTAGATGAAAAACAATTCCTAAGAGATCAATTAAGAGTTTGGATAGATCGCATGATATCTGCTGTCCAAAGGAAACTTGGCAAAGAAAGCTACTTGGCCCTGAGGGGAGCTGATGGGAGGGCAAGATGTCAGGCATGGAAAACACTTGTCTTCTAAGAAAACACAGAGACAAGAAAGGCAGAGGGGAAGGAATGGCAGTTCAGGGACAAAGGACAAGTGGTACCCTTAGGAAGGTTCATGACCAAAGGCAAGCAAACCTCTGCCAGAGCACAGTAAAGCCTGGCATGAGACAGAGCCCCAGGAAAAGATGGGCTTTCCAGACCTCCCAAAGTCAACAGCCTTTGTGACAGCATCTTGTCTTCATTTACATAAAAAAAACCCATGCAATGACAACACCAGCAAAGCTCTCTGCAGGCTGACACAGTGAACCCTGGAGCAGATTTT